GTCGCCAACAGCTCCTCGCTGTCATCGATGCTGGCTACTGTGACCTCTCCTTGGCTCACGAAGGGGAAGTCGAAGGGGTTGGTTGAAATCAGAAGCAAGTCTGTGAAAGAGGAAGGTGTTTGAACGCCTCAGTCAGCACTCAGTCTCAGTACTGTTTCCACTGCTGATCCAGAAGCTAAGGACAGCATCCCCGGAGCTTACCAATTAGTTCTGGCTTCTTGTTTGACATGATTTGGTAAAAAATGTGGTAGCTTCGTTCACTGGATAACTGGAATGTCACTCTGGATTTTTCCAGAAGATCTAAAGTAACAACAGTGACAACAACAACAACAACAAAAATCATGAGCTTGCAGGTTCCTGCGTGATGCCTTTAGCTGAGCATTATTTCTGCGCGTTGTGTGGACTCACAGGTTTCGATGTCCGCTGACGCGAGCTTCCCTGTGGCTCCAAAGTGTATCCGAATGAACTTCCCCTGTCCAACAGCAGGTTGACAAACACGTTATGTTATTGATGCTGCCTCTGATTCTCTGAGAGGTGGGTAGGAAGTGGGTAGAGGTACGTGGCTGGGAGTGACATCAGAAGCACAAACACTTCCTTCCTGTCTGTGTCCCTGACATCCATGTCCCTAGGCTGGGTCATCCAAGTCTATGAGAATTCTGCCCTAAGTGCTGATCCTGTTCCTGCATCTCTGGGGAAGCCCACAGGCTCATTTTCTGACTTACCTGCCTAGAACCACATCAGTCTTGATTGCCTCCTTGTTATCATCATACCTGGCTTCTCACACTCTTCCTAACACCTTAGACTTTGTAGCTGTCTGTCTGATTTCTGTTTTGCCTCTGGGGTCTACTTCCAAGGTTTCTCACCTCAGTTTTACTTGCTGTTTCCTAACAGCAAATCCACTTTTCAGGCCCAGACTCAGGCCAGCCTCCCTGGCTCCTAAATGAACAACTCAGGATCTGTGTAATTCACCTTTTTTGATCTCTCTCTCTCTCTCTCTCTCTCTCTCTCTCTCTCTCTCTCTCTCACACACACACACACACACACACACACTCAAAGCACTATATATCAGATGTAAAATAAACAAAACATTGTATATTATTTATATGACATATTTATGAACTTGCATCTATGTATAATTTACAATAATAGCATGCGCACACAATATATTTACTCCTTTCTTATATTATCTACTTAGCTGATCCTCTACCACACTGTGAGTGAATTTGAAGGCAAAAGTCATGGCATATTTGTTTCCTTATACCGTCTGGAACGTGTTCAGTCCTCAAAAGTTTCTCAAAATGTTATGACTAGTCTATGAAATGTTAGATAACTCTTCAGTATTCTTTAACTTAATGGAAGACAACATAAGTCGTCCCTTAGCCTATAAACGTCTGGATGGTAGAAAGTCGACAGACGTGATTGTGAGTCTGAATCAGGACCAAGTTAAGGAGACATCACAACTAAGTGGGAGTACCAATTCAGAGTTCCCAAAGGCATTGTCTCCTCTTAAGGTCAACACAATAACCAGCTTGATCCAGGTGTAAATAACACATGTCACAGACACCCTCGTGCTTAGCCTGTAACCAGGAAGACAGGTATGCATGGGGCAGTGAGCTGAGTTCAAGGGGCATAGCCAAGGAAGGAATAGTCAGGGCTCAGTGCCACAGTCTCTGAGAGATGCACCCGCTTTCTACTCAGTACCCATTTGGTCTCTGTGGGAAGATTATGGGATGCTGAAGTTACCCAGCTAGAGAAATGTGTGGAATGCTCACGCACTTTCGTAACTGGGAGCCTTTGGTAAAACTTCACCTCTGAGCACTTGTTCCCCTGGCCGAGGAAGTTAAATGAGGGAATAAATGTTTACTTATTCATTAGCATGGAAGTAAATACCGCTTTGGCTGAGCTAATCTTTAGTAAAATTCTGGAAAATATCCTTCAGTATTGACAACACCAAGCCACTCTCAATTTCTAATCTCTTCTCACTGCCTTCACTGGTTGCCCCTCCTCCCAGGGCCTCCTGACTTGGAAGAGGTCAAGTTTGCTAATTTAGACTCTATTAAGGTTTCTGTGGCTAAGTCAATCAAGTTTTGCATTTAAAAGTGCTTCTAAGCACTAGTCATGACTTCGCTTGCCTATTACCCCAGCACTGAGGGTCAGAGACAGACTGAGCCTGAGAGGTTGCTGGCCAGGAGCCTAGCAAAAATGGAAAGCTTTGCCGGGCGGTGGTGGCGCACGCCTTTAATCCCAGCACTCGGGAGGCAGAGGCCGGCGGATCTCTGTGAGTTCGAGGCCAGCCTGGGCTACCAAGTGAGTTCCAGGAAAGGCGCAAAGCTACACAGAGAAACCCTGTCTCGAAAAAACCAAAAAAAAAAAAAAAAATGGAAAGCTTCTGCTTCAGTCAGAGACCCTATTTTGAGGCAATAAAAAAAGAAGATAATACCCTGCTATAGCCTTCTCAAATGTGCAAATGGACACACAGAGAGAAATTAAACACGTTCTTCCACCTACAGAGATCACTTTGGCCTTAATGATTCCTCCTAACGTGTGGAGTATGAGTACCTGTGACTCAGCATACTGTGAAGGGGTCTTCCATGGTTAAGGACAGACAGTGAAACCCTCCCTTTGCCAGGAATAGGCCAACACCTTCCGAATTAATTCCACTTAGCCCTGTTGATCTGAATTGTAGGACTAAAGCTCAGTGTATCTAGCAAATTTTCCTATCTAGGATTTCAGGGAAGGGTGTAATTGGGTGGGGAGTTGAAAACTGATCTGCGCTTACGAATCTGGAGGAATTGTCATTCCTCACGGTCTTGGCATTTCCAAAGGCCTCCAGCAGGGGGTTGGCTTGGATGATCTGATCCTCCAGTGTTCCCTAGTAACAAGCAAAGGGAGGAAAGTCAAGAACTTCAGACTTCCTTCTGGGATGGGTGTTTGGTGACTGGAAACTGTGGGTGTCTGGGCAGAGTCCTGGGAGGGATGACACCCCTGACTAGTGGTCAGGGCTGGTGTGTGGACAGCCCACCTGGGGGAGTCTCATGGTTCCCTTCTGGAGAGGCTTTTGATTCCAGACTGGAATGTATTCCCCTCCATTTCAACATGCTTTCTTTTCTACTGATGCTTTACTACAAACGGTAGGATTTTTGAATACCCACTTCAGCAAGAGGAGCCCACCTGAGACCTAGTCACTTGGAAATTCTATGGTTAGAGCCTCACCAGCCTTCTTAAGAAATTCTCTGGGTAGTTCTGAAGTGCATTCCCTCTTGAAAACCCATAGTACTCCTAATCTTTCTCTAAAGGGGGTGTGAAGTTGGTCAAGATCGCCCAACTGTTGCTGATGGAGCTGATGCTAGGCAGATCTCCAGGTCTACAATGACAGTACCAATCCCAGTTGTGTCTGAGTGTGACTGTGATTTAGGCAGAGACATGTACCTTGAACTTCATCCAGTTTCCTGGTACAAACTTTCTAAAACTCTTGGGGTCTCTGAGGTGATGTGATGTGGTGTGATGTTGTGTGGTGTGGTATGGTGTGATGTGGTCTGGTGTGTGTGGTGGCTGAGAGCTGAAGCCCCAGGACAGGGTTTTGTATGGTTAGAAAGTTGAGCTGGTCACTGATGGCTGACTAATGGAAAGGACTAATGGTAAGGATCCCCTAACCAAAGGAATTTGGAAAGCTTCCAGATTGGTGAGCCCAGATGCTGGGAGGTGGCATGTTCAAAAAGGGCACAGAGACTCCAGATTCCTCTTCCCATACAGTATTCGTGCATCTCTTCCCTCTCAATCAATACATTTAAGGGATATAGTTCTTGAGTTCTGTGAGCCACTCCAGCAGCAGAAGAGAGAGCAGGGACTCTTTACTTATAAGAAGTTGGTTCAATGTACATACAGGTAGTATGGACCGGAGCTTGTGAGCCTGAACCATTAACTTATGGGGTATGATGCTATGTCCCCTAAGCTAGTGTCAGAATTAAATTGAGTTGTAAGATCCTGATGGGCCTTCACATTGAACTGGAGAATACTTCGGTTATAGAAAAATGTTTATACTTTTGGTATGAGAAATTTTCTGTATAAGAATACAAAGGGACAAAAAAAAAAAAAAAAGCCTGTCCCATTGGGCTATCTCTGCTGAGTGTACTTCCTTCATATCCTTGGCATTCACTTAATATTGGAGGTATATTTATTCCAACAAGCTTTTGGTGCATAATACCCCTCACCTGCATTTTGCCTGGCTGCTGCTCTTTCTTCTTATCTCCCGTGACTGCAATTGTGGCAAAGTACTGGATGACACGCTTGGTGTTCACAGTCTTCCCAGCCCCAGATTCTCCACTGTCAATTAAAAAGTAAATGGGATAAAGGAAAGTGGAAGAGAAGGTGTCGACTTCGAAGCCATCGTGATGTAAACGTGGGCTACTCACGTAATCAGGATGGACTGGTTGTCTCGATCTGGAAACACAGAAAGAAGCAAAACCAAACTCATAAGTAATAGGTGGGTTTAAAAATGAGCAGCCCTGCGAGGAGTCTGAGAACACAGCTCTGACTTTGCCATTTGCTAGGGGTGTGGTGTAGGCCTGTCCAATCATTGTGGGAGAATTTATGCAGATTCTCTGAAAGTGGGATGCTGGAGCAGTGAGTCCCGCAGTGTGAAGGGTGTCTATGTCTGTAAATCTGAGCTCCTTGCTGGCATGCTCTTATATTTCTTTTAACAAGGGAAGCAAGCCTTGGGTCCTATGCTGTTGGGAGGCCATAACTTTTAGCTGATTGGATGTCATCTCAATTTCTTGGTCTTGATTTTCTACTTGCACAAAGGAAGACTGATTTTCCATTTATGAAGTGTGTGAAGAGAATTGTAGCACTCTAAAATTCATATATCGAAGTCCTAACCCTTAGAACCTCAGAATGTGACCTCATTTGGAATTAAAATGTAAATGAGACTCAGATATTATTAAAGATATGGTCAGACTAGAACAGGCTGAGGCTTAATCCACGTCTCTGTGTCCCTGTAGTGTAGGAACAAATGAAGACATATGCACATAGAAAGAACACCAGGGGAAGACAAAGGCGGAGTAACCTAGGAACAGAGGCCCAATAACATGGAAAATAGCCTACAAACCATGGAAGCTGGGTGAGCACCCTTGAACACATTTTCTCTCATGATCCTTATAAACATATTTCTCATTAAGATGCCCAGCTTCTGGCATTATGTCACAGTGGCCATGGCAAGCTAATACAAATAGTGATGTGTGACTCTTCCCTTTAAAACGTGTCAATTTGGTTAATATATAGGGAAGAAATTGAAGAGTTGGTGAGTACTGTAGAGGTTTGTTTGATTTTTATGGGTTTTCTGATCATGGCTGCTCACTTCCTATGTCTGTGGTAAGTCAAGTCAGGTGAAAGTTGAGTGGACAAGTGACCGTAGGCATAGTGGTGTGGCAGTGTTAGCATGTGTCTATGTCTTGGGAACGATCAGAGGAGTGTGCTATACCCCTTGAACTTTGCATTCCTTAAGTGGTTGGTGGTTAGTGTGTCTTTTAAGTGTCCCCTTAGTGGGGTGAAGTGGGGGTATGGAAAAGCAGAGTCCTTGTCTTCCACAATCCCCCTGAATAAGTTCAAGTTTGGAGTACCTCAGCTAGGACCCCTCCCTGGCTTTGCCTGGACCATGACTACTGTAATGAAAGATACCACAGCCTTGGTCATTCACCCCCAAGTCATTTGATGCTCCCAAGTTCACACTGACCACTGTGCTGTTTAGATGAGTGAGGTCTCCAAAGGGCCCAAGTACTTAGCCAATAAGTGACTTACGATCACATGAAAGCAAGGGCTCACTCACCAGTCAGCATGAACTGGTAGGCGTTGTCAGAGATGGAGAAGATGTGGGGCGGGGCCTCCTGGCGCTTTTTGCCTCGGTAGGCCGCCACCACCTCAGGGTTGTACACCGGCAGCCACTTGTAGGGGTTGACGGTGACGCAGAAGAGGCCCGAATAGGTCTGCGAGAAATGGGAAATTTAAAAGATTATGGATCTTGTTTTTCCTCAGAGAGCTAAGTGAAATAGAAAGAGGTCAAAAAAAGCTCTCACGTAGATCATCCAGGCTGCGTATCGTTCTTTGAGGTTGTACAGCACTGCGGGCTCGTGCAGGTGGGTCATCATGGCCATGTCCTCGATCTTGTCAAACTTAGGGGGGTTCATGGGGAAAACCTGGTCACTGTTTAGAGTGAGCTCCTGGGTAGAACAAGGAAAAGCAAGTGATGGGTGCAGAACCAATGACCTGTGCTCTCCCTGGGGACAGGTGGCATGCTGGGATACTGCAGTGTGGTCAGGGCATTACCACAACAACTTGATGAATCCTTTCCACACCCAGAGATGACCTGGCAGTAACTTTCCTTGATTAACCTGATTCTGGTCTGGTGCTCCTAGGCATCCTGGCATTGTGTGTGCCAGGAAAGGGCATCAGGTGTGTAAAGCTAAAGAGAAGTTTGGCCCTCAGAGTTGCCAGATGGGGCTTAAGGTAGCCAAAGGCAAGGTGAGCTGCCTTGATATGACCTGTTGCTCTGAGTGCTGTGATGAGACAAAGGTTGGGAAGAACTTTTCTCATGGGCTCTGTGCTTCCCTTCCTCAATACTCTGCTTATGTGGGCGTCTTTGCAATATCTTCATCAGTGTGGTCTCTAGAAAGAAACCCCCAGAGCCCTGCCCAGGTGCCCCCTCTCATGCCCCATTTCTTTTCACCTGTTTCTTCAAAGCTCTGATAATTGCTTGTATCTCTGCTGTCATAGTTAAACATTTGGACAGGTATGATGGTTCGTGGTTGAACAGTATTTGGAGATAATTATTGAATCTCACCTCTCTAGGTTGCTCCCACCTTTGCTTCCTACTCAAGCATATAATTGGCTCTGCGCTTCATTCTCGGGAGACACAGAAAGTAGGGCAGGAGAGGGAGAGAGCCGAGAAGGTTTGCTGGCTTTTATCCTCCTAAAACTGAAGCTCTTAGGGGAGCTTTGGGGTTAGCGGAAGGAGACTCGCTGATGTGGGCTGAAGTTCATGAGGAAGGAAGGCCTTCCATCCCAATATCTGAGCCTATAAAGAGACCCCCAAGATAGCCCACAGGGAGAGAGAAGGTCTCTGCATCCTGACAGTTTAGGGACTAGCACTCACTTCTTAGGAGATCCACCAGAAAGGCAGTGAGTCCAGGTGGGCTCTCTGTAAGATTGTGAAAATGGGGCACAGCTCTGAAGGTGGGGAGACCCCCAAAATGGCTGAAGACCAGTTTTTATTTTCTCTATTTCAGTGAAAAGGAGCTAGAGCCAGAGGTTTAGTTCAATGATAAGACATGTAAACAAGATCTGTTGGCTGTGCCTACGTTTGAACTGGTATACATTCCTGACACACAGCCCTTACACTAGATGGCAAACTTTGGGGAAGCGGGAACCACGACATGACAGCAGAGGTCTGATGTATGTCCAATAAGGATTGAACTGAAGAGTGCACTGTGATTATCCACTCTAAACCAATGGGGGCCCTGGAGCTTACTCTGTAAGAGCCCCACCGCCTAGAGCTTGTATTGAATTGACCCATCAGGCAACAGGCAGCATCGGATGGTTATGGCCCAGCATGCAATCTCTAGTAGTTCACTCCAAAGGAAAGCAAGGATGCTTCATTATTAAAGACCAACACTTACCCGGTCATCTAAGGTCTTGACAATGACTTTGTCATTTTCCCTGCTCTGGATCATGCCTTTCACATACATTTCTTTATCATCCACAGCAAAGCAGGCTTTCTTAGAGTCAAAAGGGCGATTCTGAGCCTCGATCCTCTCCTTCTCTGGCTTTCGGAGGTAGGGAGCAGCTTCTCCAAAAATGGCCATCTCAGCGTCTGAACTCATGACTGCTGGGGGCTGAGAAGACAGGGGGACTGGTGAGGCTTCAGCTTGGGTAAGTACTTCATCCTCCTCTGCTCCATTATTGCTATTCAGTCGGGGGTGGCGGGGCAGGTTCAGAGGCTCTTGGAACAACTCTACCTTTTGAGAGATGTACAGCCAGGCCCAGGGAGGGCATTAAGTGGGCAAACTCAAGGCAGCCACACGTTTGGTAAAGAAGGCTCCAGTAAGCACCTCCTAAATGACTCATCCTGCTTGAGCCCTGTGACCTGAGTGCCATGCCCTTATGTAAACGTTGGAACAGTGTTTGGAATGGCAGTGATTCCTAATAGAGAATTCGTACAGCTCGGTGCTAACACACTGATTTGAATGTAAAGATTCATTTCACTTGTTTAGGTAACAAGGTAATTAACAGAAGGCACACTGGCCCAGTGCAAGCAGTCCAGACTTCAACATGTGTCAGAACCCTCCAGGAACCAGTTAAAGTAGAGAGCTGGGTCCCAACTATCTATTGTAGGATTTAGTGGGCTGAAAATAGACATTTCTTGCAGGTTTCTAGGTCACGTGGCTGCTGTTAGCCCGGAATGCTCTCTCTGAGAGGCGTTGCCACGTGGTCTTCTTGGTTTAAGCCCTCAAGCTGTCACACCAGGGGTTTTTCAGAAAATAGAGAATCTCCGACTCAATTGAGACAACCCAGGCAGAGCCTGCATTATATGAGGATTCTCTGGGGAGTTCTATGCTTACAGAGAGAAGAAGACCGGGCCTAGAACAACTGTTTAAAGTCCACTTGTGTATAGCACTATCAGATTGGGAAAATGTTTAATTAACACTCACCTTAGCACCCACTGCATAATGTGTGGGTACATATGAGGTCCCCCCATCTCCTGTGTCATGCTTTTCTATAGTTATCTCTCTTCTTTGGCCTTTCTATGTGTGTATTTTCTCCTCTTTCAAGCTAGAAAACTCACTTTAATGTCTGAGCTGTGACCTTGTTCAAGTCACTTAAGTTCTCTGGGCTCCTGCCTCATCCTATTAAAAATGAAGAAACAACTCTTGTCTACCACATCCAGGTGTAGCATGGACCCACGACTCCCTTTCCTCCTGTCCACTTCATTCCCTCTCCATCTTTTCTCTCATCTCCTCTGTGTGTTCCCCCAACACACACACACACACACACACACACACACACACACACACACACACACGCCCTTCCTTTCCTTTCTCCCTCCTCTTTTCCTTCCCATCCCATTCTCCTGTGACAGAAATAAAATATAATTAAAATAAAATGGAATTAAGTACACACACAGCACCCGTATGCATCTTCCTGTATGTCTCTTAAACAGCTAATGTTTTAATACCTTTTCCACTCTATGTTGAAAGCGAGGACAAGCCCATTCCAGTTCTCTCTCCCTGTTCCACCTTTTGGGAACTACACTTCATTAGTCACTGTTGAAATATCCTTTCTGTGATTCTGCAGATGCCGCCTTTTACGGGGTGAAGGATTTGCTTAGCTCTGGGCCTTATTCTGATGAAGTTTCGCTTTAGTTTTATTTTGGCCAGTGGCTCCCTTAAGCTAGCTGTGGCTCGTGGTTAAGATTTAATGGGAAAAAAAAAACTGGGATTTAATATAGTATCCACAAAGAGGGCTCCCAGGCTCCCAGCCATCATGCTGCTTTAAAACAACTTGGTTATTTCCTGGAGAATAAAAAGAATCATAATTTTTCCTTCCATTTCCCCGAAGGGAGCCTCCACAGTTGTGGCTTAAGTGGGTTGCATTACGGCAGCAGTTTTCCAACTTAGTGGTCTTAGGACCCCTACATACTCTTGAAATGAAAAATGCAAGGAGGTGGTATTTCTAATGTGCACCAGATGAGAAATGAGAATTGAGAAAAAGTATGAATTCTTTAAGAGGTACTATCAAATCCCTTATACATAACGTATTTTTGAAAACGGTATTTTTCAAAACCAAGAAATTACAGAGAAGAGCAGCTCTCTCTTCCACTTTTGCAATCTCTTCTATGTCTGCTTAATTGTCATGTCTGTTGTCGGATTGGCTAAAGTAAATGTAAGTTTTTAAGAGCAGCGCCTTACGTCATAGTATAATTTAAAGAAGGAGAGGAACTACACTCATTTGGGCCTGTCAAACTATCGTTTAGTTATCTTTTCAGATAATGTAGTTATTATTCTTCGACACTTACTGTTTTAAACTTGACAAGTGGTTGAGTCTCAAAGGTGTCTTGCAACGTGGAACCTGAAACCATCAATATTTTATTTGATTACATTAGAACACACTGGTCTAGCTTGCACTTCCATTTATTTTGTTTTGAACCAGAGTAACCCGGGCTAGCCTCCTGCCTGGGTGGCAAAGTGCTTCACTACCAAACAACTTCTCCTGCCCTTAAGTTCTGTTTAATAGACGTTGCAGGTTTCCCATTTCTGCTGCCTGGGTGCAGGTGGGAAAAGTTAACAATACCTGGTGGCTGAATTATATTTAATCTTTCTAGAAAAAGTAGACTTCCCCTTCTAGGCCTCAGATCCTTACCAGTTTTCAGATAAAGACTCTGTAGCCCACCCCTTTTACCGGCTGTAGTCCAACTGTAGCTCGAGTCCCGTGTCTCCTCATTGTATCACCTGGGTGAAATGACTTGACTCGGCAATATTCTTTTACAGGTGTGGTCGCACACCTTCCCATACAACTTTCCCCATTTCTGACAGATTTGACAGACCAAAGGTACTTAGCCTAAAGTCCTTCTATAACTTTAGGATGATCGATTGCCATCCCAGCTCTTGATAAAGGAAAGAAAACTCCAGCTTCTTCTGTAAGATGACTCTGCCCCGGTCCCTGGCTGTTCTGTGCTCTTCGTAGCTTTACTGTCTCTGTGCTAAGTGGACCCAGTTACATCTTCATCTGCTTCTTCCATAATGTACTTCTGCATCTCCTTTACTGTCCTAGTCTCTGTACCCAAGTGGACTCCTGTTAATCTCATCAAGTGTGATATCCAAACCACGTGTCCTCCTCCTCTTCCTCCTCCAGAACGCCCTCACCTCCCCTGACCTAGGTGTAATGGCTGAGGCGGTGACTGTTCATTGGCAGCCAGGTCACTCCGCTGACTCACCACTCACTGCCCAGCAAAGTCCCTCAATCCTCCCCAGGCATGCGGTTGCTAAGTCAAATCCTCTCCCCATATTTATGCAACCGAGGGCTGAGTCCCAAGTGTAAAACCATTCATTCTTGCCTGGTGAATGTCACCTCCTCAGATCTGACCAAATTCTCTTGGTACATGACTCACAGTGGCCCCCGAGCTCTCCCCTCACAGGGTCCCTTAATTAGCCTTTTTCTGTTCTTTCAGCATGACCAGCTCCCACACTGCATAGCTGTGCCCTTTCAGCCACCCGCTCTGTTCCTGTCTCCAAGGGCCTTCTAATTGAGATGTTTGCCCTCCCACCCAATCCCCATTACCACCCCCGAGTGCTCCTCTGTTTGCTTTGGGTGTACTCTGTCATTGCCCTTGACTTATCCCTCTTCTAGAAATTTCTCAGCCAGTTCTTGTTGAGTGGTCATAACTCAATGATCCTTGGCTCTTTTGCTCCGAGTGCATCTAGAATTATCTCTAATAAACAAACTTTGGTTTCATTTCTACCTTTGAGTAGGTTTGAATGAACTTTCCTTGTTCTTCCCTTACTGTTTGTGACAGCGGCATGGCTGTGTGGATTCAAGGCTTAAGACTGTGCCTAAGGGTCAGCCACAATTAGTCAATCGTGTAAAGAGTGAGTCTTGGGTGTCATGTTCTCGGTCTACGAGGTATATGGACCTAGAACTTGCATACCGAAACTCTGTTCTTGTGTTCAAGGCATTTCTGAGCACAGTAAAAACACAGGAAGCTCTTCTTCCTTCAGTCAAAGTTGTGATTTTGTAATGTCACCTTTAAGAATCAATACTCTAGTGATCAGTCTCAGCTCACTGATTTCAGCTTCTTACATATGTGGCAAGGTTGAAAATGTGTAACATGGTGTTTGCTAAACTCAGTGACTGCCGTTATGACCAAACCAAAAGTAAACCTTACCTTCTTGGTTCCCAGAGTGACTCTCAGTGTCCTTCGGGAATGGGATGTCCTCCTGAGCCTGATTCAATAGAGCCAAAGCAAACAGACAAAAAAAAAATGACTACAAGAATTTTTTAAAAATATAGAAAATATGTTTATTCTGATTTGTGTTTATGTATATGGACACACATTGGAGAGTGTAGGATGAAAAGAAATTTTCTAGTTTGTATATTTTGATTTTGGGTTAACTTATCATTCCCCATGACTGTGTAATCATACCACCTTTTTATTTATTTATTTATTTATTTATTTATTTATTTATTTATTTTTGGAAAGAAACTTGTGGATGTGGAAAGTGGCATGTAAGTTCCTTAGGAAGTTTAACAAGGATAGAATGTCTCTGACATACGAGAGTTCAAAATTCAGTGAAGGTCAAGAATATGCTGAAATAAATCTTGAACCAGGAAGAGTAAGAGACAATTCCATGAGTCTAGGTAAACTGTCCCGGAAACTTGTATCTGGCTAGGGGGCTATGTCCTCTGGGGAATGATCAAATATTGTAAGCTGAATGGTTGAAGCCATCTCAGTAGGGAGCTTGGGCACACTCTCAAGTCTCCTGGGGAAAGTGGAGATGGGACTTCCAAAAAGTCATCTAAGGCCAGAGAATCCCGAGTTTATGAAGAACATTACCATTTTCAAGGAGTTCTCTGCAAAATTTTAAATATCAAACCTGATTTCAACAAACTTCCCAGTTACCGAGTACTGCTTAAATGGAGCCAGAGAAAATGTCATGAAATGGCTCGTTGCAGGAGCAGTCAGTCAGGTTTTGATATGCTGGTTGCTTCCTTTATTTTCAAGTCTTTAATAAGCCTCAGTTCTATCTCCAAGTTCACAGAAAGTTTTCAGAAGCATTAACTCATATGCCGAATCCTTGGCTCAAGAGATGTAAGATGCAGAA